GCCTGTAGCTGAAAACCCTTCGTGCCTCCAGCAACAGCTCCGTGCAGAAAGCACGCAGGACCAAGCCCTAAATTCGTTAGCCGGTGGTAAGTCAGTATTCCTCTCACACAAGGTTCAGTGCCGAGAGGTGCTACTGGCATTCCGACCATAAGTGGATTAAGGACAGCCGACGCTAGCGGAACCTATCTCACCAAGGAAAGAACAAGCCTAACGCACTTTTTTAACTAGGCTTGTAATTATTTTTAAACCAACCATACAATGGTGTGTTTCTATTTTCATAGCCTGTAATATTATGTCACAGAAAAAAGACCGCTCTATTGTGAGTAGCATATATAAGTAATATTTTCTAACAAAGTGATGGATGTAATATTAATATACGTAACTGTTTTAAAAAGTAGAAAACATGTAAAATTACAAACAAAAACCCTGCTCAAGTATATAGCTTGCTTGCAATTACCATTAATGCTGTATGTATTTTTAAACAACCTATAATACTGTGATGATGCTGTAAACTTACTTCTGTAGGCAAAGAATGTTCTATTTAAAAATGTCAAGATGAAGGATGTAAATGTTCTTAAAGTGCTATCAACTAAAAATATGAATTTTCACAGAATATTCTAAAGGATTCTGTTACATGCTACAGATATATTTTACAAACGTATTTATGGATCATACACACTGGTCTATGTGAGAACAAGCAGTACTATTTTATTACAAAATAAATAAATAAGCAATGAATATCCATGCCCAGAAGCTGGAAAATGTTTTTTTAAGGTACCCTGATCAATTCCACAGGTAATTTGAAAGCTAGAGGAATTAGTACCTTACTGACAGAAGGTATAAGCTCCCCCTCATTTCCCAGCTTTCCCCCATACAGATCACGCTGCTGTCAGTGCAGGCAAAGATCTTCAGAATCAGTTTTGGAGGAAAAAGGAACAGCTAGCTAGTTGCATAAAAACAACGCAAATGTAGTATTCATAAGATTAATATATGTATTCACAAAATTAAAAAACATCTTTTAAACACAGTGGCATTTAGAATACCAACTCTGTTGTAGGCAGTAACAATTTGCACATAGTGTCTAGGTTAGTTCTTATTGAGTGGAGACAATAAAAAGTCATTCTCTGAAAATCATACTGAATGGTAATAAAATTACAATTTGAAGAATGCAAGTATATTTCAAAATGCTTTAAAAATACATGGCTGGAAGCACTCCAGCTCTTGCTGGAGTATGTATGTATTATTTGGAATAATTGTGCTGAAAGCTACAATTCAGGTTTTTAGTGAAGAAGAATCTGGGCGCTGTGTCAGCTAACAATGTCGCAGGGGAACACGATTGCTTCCAGCAGCAAAACCTTGTCCTCAGTGCCACCAGTTTAAAATTTTTGTCAAGCTCCCAATATGAACACATAGGTTCAGCTCCTCTTCTTGGAAGCCGATCAAACTGTCTATGGTTAAAAAAAAACAACCAAACAAACAAAAAAACTCCCAAAAAAACCCACACACCCAGCACTAAAAAATAACTGACTCTTGCCACACAACAGAACTATGACTGGGAGATGGATTTATGAAAAGGCCGAGGCCCCAAAGGGTGAAGCATTTCAGTTTTTAGTATAGCTTGAGAGAAAAGATTCAAGATTAATGTAAGGAGCACTGGACCAGTGGGACCAGGTCCCAGCTGGCTCTAGGTGACCTTGCTCGAGCAGGAAGGAGGTTGCACAAGATGACCTCCAGAGGTCCCTTCCAACCTCCGCCGTTCTGTGGCTACGTGTTTCACGAGTAGCTGGAAATCAGTATTCAAACGTGTTTATCTTTGCTCCCAGCTCCTATCCAGGCAAGTTAATTGCACTAAAACTTCATTCCCACTCAGACATATGCTATTGTGAATGAGATGGAAGTTTATCCTAGAGGAGCAACTAAATATAAAGTCCCATTGCCCAGCAGATGGTTAGAAACAAGACTAAGAAATGACTGAGCCTGGAAGCCAGGGTAATTTTTTTTTTTTTTTTTAAATAAAGCTAGGGCAAATGAAAGTGGACATTACATTACTGCAGTCCACAGGAAACTGATTTTAATGATAATTTGAGGAATATAAGTTTATGCAAAGGGCCAGTTATAAAGTATAACATCATGAAACCGAGTCTCAGCATACACATCATATAAAACAATGTATACACAAAAAACCCTTCCATATTTGTACGAAGTTCAGAGTAATAAACTCTACGACATCACAAATCATTCAGAAAATTAAATAACGCAACTATGTGTAGCATGAAAGTTAGAAAGCAAAAGCTCCAAAGTACTTTTAATAGGCAGATTGATTTGTTTTCAGTACTACAGCTGCTTACCATATGAATCACCCTTGATCCACCCCACTCCTTTTATGCCCCAGCAAGCACAAACAAAGGAGCAAACGAATAAATATTTCTTGATCATAGTTTTAGAGTGTTTCTTTGGATCAAAAGAAAAATTTACTGCTGAGGAAGGAGGGGGGAAGCTCCTGTGAGGGGAAAAAGGAAGAGACATGATCTTTTTTTTCCCCTACATCCTCCATGTCAGAATTTTTGGATGTCTAGTTCAAACCCTGCAGGATTATGCAATAAATTATTTAGAGACTCAAATTATTCATTCCATTGTATATCCCTAATAGCTGCCACAAGAAAACAGAGGACAAACACTCAGATCTCAGAATTATTCTTGATTAAAAAAAAAAAAAGTACTGTAGTGAGCCATAGGAAAACAGATGTAACAGACATAAACAAAATATGCTTTAATTTTTGCGAGGAGCTATCTGAATTGTCTTTGTAATATTTACGCAAACAAACAAGAACTGTACAGCCACTGTGCTGTGTGAGTATGAATGCTATTTTACAGACAAATATTATCAGATGCCTAACCCAAATAGCTCATAGTTCAGTGTATTTACATAAAGGCTTGACAAGAGTTGCAAAGAAATATTTCAGTATTTCTAGAAAGCATCTATGTACCGAAAGGAAACATATCAAAACATCTTCTTTTACTTATAAAAATAATCAATCTATATTTAGAGTCCTGGAACTCACTTGCTATGGCTTTTGTAAGAGCTAAAGCTGTGTTCATTGGCAATAACAACAAAATTACACTTTCAAAGGATTCAATCTCTGATCATTACTTTTATATCTGACGGCCCTTATTGAGACTTCACATGAAATAATGGGCATCCTTTGCCTCGTGTTAAGCAGATTGCTAGGGACTTCGAAAGACTCAAGAGAAACAGGGAGTGTAGTCCAAAGCAAATAAGGAACAGAGATGGAGTATCTAAAAATAAAAGCTTTATATAAGATTGGACAGCAGGAGATTTAAGGGATTTAAACATTTCTAAGGATTATAGAGCAATGGGAAGAAACAAGCAGCAGTTTCTTCATTATATAGGTAGCTATGTAATCTGCAGAGACAATTCAAAAGTTAAAGCCAAGCTTAGGGGTGTATTTTTGATGGACTATTAAACCTGCTGTTTACAAGAAACCAGAATAAACTGCCGATGAAGCAGCGAGGACAACTAGCTTCGAACAACTTTGGGCTGCATTTTGTTTTCACTTGGGGCTTGGCCTACTCAGGATCAAGTCCCAGCGAAATCATTCAAGGTAGGTTTTTAAGCACCAAACGGCAGATATTCACTAACATAGGTGGGCCTAGCTACCTCTGTATCCTAGCATTTCTCTTCAGATTTCACTTCCCACAAATCAATGGAAAAACAAGAGGCTAAACAGCCCTCAAGCACTCTTGTAAATAATATATATCACACAAAAAGTAACTACATGGATATAAAATACAAAACCAACTTAACACATATTTTTGTCCCAAAGTCGGAAAATAAAATGCAACAGTAAGATCTAATCCTATTTTCTTTGTAACAAAAACTCAGTAAGAGTTCAGAGATAAGGATATTTCGTCAAGATTTCCACAGCCTTCAGAGATCTAAATGCACAGAAGTCAGGAAACTGAAGACTGATGAGAGTCAGTAACTTTACGACTCACAGAAGTCCAACAGCCCCAAGTCGCTGCAAGAGCAATGCAATGAGCTCTTGCTGCCAGCAATAATCAGAAAGGTGGGCTCCATTTATGCCTACAGATCAGCATACATCTTTTGAGGCTACAACGAAGAGGATTTCATTGTCTAACCCACTGAGATCCCCAGCAAAAAGCCATTTTATTTGAATGTATACCGAATACCACTCTTCCACCCAGATACATTCTTTGAAAGATGGTTACTTTGCCATCTTGAAAAGTCACAGAAAATTGCAACAAATCACAAAGTATTTTTAAAAAAGGGTCAAAAATATTATTTGGCACCTTATTCCAATCTTAATCTATGTTGTTTTTTCTCTTCCTAGACACCTATCCTATAAGGTTCTACGATGAATTTATTATCGTTTCTCGTCCTGTTGGCATCCTCAGTCTTGCTGATTAATTTCTGTTACAGTCTCATTATTTCAGTTCTATAAATACCCCATTTCATTTTACTCCTTTCTATAGTTACCTTGCAACCTTCTTTTTCTCCTCCACCTGGGGCTCTCACTTTCAATTTAACATGAGACAGTGGGCAAAGATTGAGCTGAAATCCAGTAATTACACCTCCCTGCCCCGAAAAATTGAATCATTTATTTTTCTTATGGATGGAAGCAGCTGTGAGCTGCTCTGAAATCCCACAAGCAATCCCACAAAACACTTATTACTTGTCAGAAAGTGTTGGCTTCCGTAATTTGAAAAATGTATATAGTTGGATTACAATATATTGCAACATTTGCATTTAGGAAGAATAAAGAGTTGAATCACAACCCATATACCAGCATGCTGGGTATATCTGGTTCCACCTGCAAGAATATTAAACCACCACCCAATTCATCACTGACAAAACAGGTTATATCCACAATAGTTGGCATTCAGTACGTGACTGCCTGCCGAAGACTCGCCCAGTTCTTGACATTATGTCCTTGAGTTATATTTACTACTTTCAGGCCTTACATTTTCTGACCTTTCAGCCTTTGCCATAAGTTCCTGGGATCCTCTGAAGGTTTGGGAAAGCTTCCGAGTGCTTCTCCTACAAGTGTAAGCACATCCTGAAATAAAAAGGAAACATGAAAATTACTTAGTCTTGTATTCCTGCCATTTCTCATGTCCTGTATCACAGGCCCACCATTGGCAGCTGCATCCAGTCCCTCAAAAGCAACTAGGTAGACAGCACTCATCAGCACCATTTTTCTGGATTTTTAAAGCATCCCGCTTAAAAACTTTGTTGAACAGTGTGGCCAGTGATCTGCCCCATAAAGCAGGTTTCTTCCCTAAGGAGGGGAAGGAAAAAGCAGGTGGCCTTTTCAAGGAAGCTGGGAGAGAAACAAGAGAAAAAAGCGAAGACTCACTTGAGACTAAAGTTCTCAAATCTTAAGTATGGCGTGAATGGGAGTCAAACAATGAGGAGACTGACATTATCAGGTAAAAAAAGAAGTCATGGTACAGTGCACAAATTCCCACCCTGCTCACAAATGCAGAAAGATAGATCTCGGGGCTTCAGAGAGTGTTACAACCCGCTTTCTATCAGACTCCCTTTCAAAAAGTGAAGAGTTCTTCCTTCAGGAAGAAGACCATCCTGACGAATAGCCATAGAAGACCCAAGGAATTCCGTAAGTTTCAGCTCACATTGTCTACCATCTACTCCAGAGGTATTTCCTAACAATAAAGCTTGATTCTTTGTGACAGCAGACACAGAGAGAGGACAGTTCTTCCAAGAAGAAACCTCAGTGTATCCGAGAGGCCTTAGCCTCCACAACATGTTGCAGTGTCCTGTGCTGAGACTCCTACACCAAAGGATGAGTAAGGAAGACTAGTATGGCCATAACTACCTACTATCACATCATTTTGTTATTTACCATTTTGTATTGGACAGCCCATCAGAAAACAAACTGTGGAGAAATAGTCAAGGTGTACTCAAAACAATTCTACAACATCCTGGGAAAAACCTTCAGCTTATATAAATCAGATCAAATTACTTGATCAGTATGTTAATCCCAAGCATTTTATTAAAGATATGGAGCCAAATTCTATTTTGACTTGCACTGCATTCAGGTCAATCTTATCTCACTGCCATAAATCAGAGGGAAATCTGTCTTACGGATTCTTTAGTTACAGTATGTATAAGATGTACCACAACTTTTTTTGAACAACATTTGCTTACTCTGGAGTAAATCTGTTCTTCCAATTTCTCTTGGATTAAAGCACTTTCCATTAGAATCTTCTTTTGTCTGAGAAAGGTAATTTTGGCTAGCTCTGCTTTCTTCTTCTGACAGTCAGGGCACACTGAAGATTCGTGCATTTGAGTTTCTGTCACCTGAAAGATGAGACTTTGATGCAATGCCTGTCCTAGTCAGATGGCCTCTCCACTAAAACCAATCAATAGACAGTATCTATATCTGTATTTTTAAAGACAAACATTTGCTTCTGTAGGCAGTTGTAAGTTATTTCATAATCTCTGTCACAGTATCAGCCTGTCTGAATGTTTTCACACTAAATATATTTGCTTTCCCCCAGGTATTACCCCTTCCAGCACAGATAACTTAGTTTCATTAAAATTATCTACATGTATCTCAGAACCATAGCACTGATCTGTCATATACTATTTCTTCTTGTAATAGGCAAAGTTTCTCTGATGCTTGAGGTTGCATGGACATTACTGACTTCTTCCACACAAACTGTAAGTCAATAAAAATGAAGTCATGTGATTACCAAGCAACATGTCGGTGACCAGCCAAAACCAACCGTGAGGATACAGTTATACTGGAAAAAAATTTGTTTTAATTAGTATAACTCATTTGACCCTGGGTGGATGCTCAGTACAAATTACAATTTTGCCAATGTAAATCTGCTACTGTTAATTATGTTTAGAGCACCACCAGTCATTAGTTACCCTTGCTTAATGAGTACCTGATGTTCCAGGAAGCCATCCTGTGCATGCCAACCAGTCTTCCATAACAGCAAATACACTAACTCCTGAAGGCTTGATTAAGTTAAATTTACATGTCTTACTCCATGTTTCAAATACTTGATCATCACAACTCAGTAATAGCAATTGTTAATCAGCAATAATTCCACCAAATATAACTGCCTGTCTGTAATGAGGAACAGCAGTGTTCCTATGCTGATGCCTTAAATACCAACCATAGACGTTATGATTATCTTTACAAATTCTAAGAGGTAAATAAACTCTGAAGCAATTAGTTCAATATGCAGCTCTGAGTCAGAATACAAACAAAATTCTACAGTTTTCTTTGTAAGATAAACAGTACTACTTATTAATTCTTATGTTAGTTTATCCACCATTAAATCTTAAGCGTATTTAATAGCATTACACAAATCCCCGTATTTGTGCATTTATGAAATATCAATAATTTTATCTGATTTAATTTACACAGATTCCATCTGGTTACATAAACATATTAAGTTGCTATAAAAGCAGTGGAATCAATCCTAGAAAGTCATGTCTCAAGCCTCTCTGTCATCTTCTTCCTTGATTTATTCTCTTCTGCATAAAAAAATGTTATTATGTGGAGGTAAAGACAGAAGCAAATAGACATAGCAGTCAAAGTTACTTTTCTTAGGAAATGTATTACCACACTGTAAGACAAATAAAGAGGCAGTAAAAATTCTACAAAATTTGGATGGTAGGTTGGTTAACATTAATAAAGAATGCAGATTGCTGAAATTTCAAAATAATTTAAACAAACAGGAAGCCTGAAATAATCACCACACCAGAACTGACTTTAAAAGTATTACTCCCTGCTAATCTGGCACAGGCTTTGCAGAGGACTATGCTATTTATCACTTTTACTATGCTATATGGCAATAAATTAAAACCAGCAAATGTGATAGAGATAAAACAAAATAAATGACTACTTGCTATTCACAGCTAATTTTTTGTTTTATCAGAAATACTTTCTCAGATGCAGACATTCTGTAATAATTTCAAACAAAGTTTAGACATTTGCCAAGGTCCAGATTTATGGGTAAAGGCATCTGTAAGCAATGGTGACCACTCAAATCCACATAATCACATATTCAAATCCATCCACAAGCACAAAGCAAGAATGCAAGTATCACTGGCCAAAACCAGTACCAGTCTTGAGACTCTTAGATGCAGAGCTGAAGGAAGGAGCTGGGTCCAATGCCTATACTCTGGTGGGAAAAAAAACACTGGGCTGGTGAAAAGCACTTTGAATTGTGTGAAGATGACACAGATGCTTCTTAATACAGGAACTGATGTAACCAAGATTCTTTTGGACACGCTTTAATTCTTACTATTACCTAATGTCTAAAAAAGCCAGGAGCAGGGGGAAGGTTTTGCATTTGGAATACTTTTAATATTGGAGTCACAATGACTCCATAATCAAATAATACACAGAATACTTCTATAAATGACAGGTGCAAACATAATCAGAAAACAGGCTTTTTTTCCTTCAGTTGATCTGGAGGTTATTGTGGACCGCCATAACCGACCAGTCCAGCCCCCCTCAATCACACAAATCATTATTTTATCACCAGACAATATTTTACAATCATTTGATCATTTACTAGCAACAGTTCTGCAGTAGTGTCTAACCAATTTTTTTTTTTCTTCCTCGCAGTACCTGTTTAGCAGTCTCTCTGATATTTTTCAGGCGGATTCTGTTCATTAGCCGATCAGGAACAATGCAGTTCAAGTCACTTGTCTCCAGTTTCTCTGCTGCAAATCCATGCTGCAGCTTTCTTGACTTGCCACCATTTGCCTGCTTAGAGATCAGCTGCTGACACATCTTGCTTATCTTAATGGTGCAAAAAGAGCGGAGAGCATCCAGTTCTCCATCGAATAATTCAGTAATTTCTGTCAGGCATAAATCAACAGAACAAAAGTGTCAATTACAGTATCGGGGAAAGAGAATTACTGGTCTTCTATCTGTGCGACCTCATATTATCTATTTAATAAAAATCCAAACCCAATGTCAAGCCTAGAGGCAATGACTGTAATAACAGCAGTGAAGAATTTAAATAAAAATCCGGATGATAACTGTAGGAACATGCACACTAAATGCCCCTATGAATAGTTTCCAAAGAGGGGAGAGGATAAGAACCCTAAAGAATTAAGACTACTTAATGATACAGCACAAATATATCGGTAAAGCAAGTACTCAAATATGAGGACATTAAATAAACTGAGTTTCAATGACTGCCTAATACAGATTTAGCTTCTTTCTACCTGAAACCACAAATTACTAAAACAAAATGAATTAACATTTAACAAGAGCTACTCATCTAGTAACTCTAAGGAGCAATTCATAAGACACTGAAAAAGTAGGGGCAGTGTCTATTGAAGTAACTCTGGAAAACACCTCAAATATATTTATATTCTACAGCCTGTAGTTAGGCTTTTTTTTTTTTTTTTTTTTTTTTAGGAAATGCAATTATATTAGAAAACATTTTCCCCCAAAGCTTCAATGATCATTTCCTAAATTCTTTATATGACCTTGTTTAAACATTATCTTTCACTCTTTCATCTTCTCTTATCCTTCCCAGTGGCATGTAATAATAAACAAAAAACTGAGAGATTATACTTCAGATGGGCAGGTAAGGATGGATTTACAACTTCATTCAATGCTTAGTGGGAGATTTTCCACAAGCTTAAACACTGCTAATCAATATAGACTAGCTAACATGAGTAATTGTGTTACAATTTCAGTATTTCATGAGCATCAGCATATAATGATGCTGTGTAGTACTACATGGCCTTAAGAGATACCACTGTTTTCAACTATTTAAACAGGGGAGAGTACTATTACACAGATTTTGCTTTTATGCAACTACTGAAGCCCAACTAAGCATACTAATGTGTATAATTAAAGGAAAAATGAGGAGAAGACAAAACATTACAGTAAGCATTACCAGAAGTCTTGTGAATACCTTTGCTAATGCCAACACAGCATTCCCTCCTCAAGACTCCACTCTGACAGCAGAAAAAAAGTCAGACAACTAATAATGACTACACAGGTAAGGTATGGTCAGTTTGTTTTAACTCACAGTATTCAGAAACAAATTATACTGCCCATTTAGCTGGAAAGTATGATTATACCATTTAATCAATCCCTCCATATCGTCCGTTTCACTCATTTCCAATAATTAAATCCAGTTTTACTTTTTCTAGACAAGCACTGCATATTTCACTGCATATTTCAGGGTGCTTGTCTGACAGCTATTGCATTGGCGTTCCAGACCTGTGGGGTACCTTGGCATAACCACAACACGAATTCTTAAAACACTGAACAATATGAATGTAAAACTTTGCTTAAATGTGTGGCGATGAATTTAGTCTCACGTACACAAGACAGAGCTCTGAAATTTTGCAAGGAAACTGAGTATCTCTTTAGAAATGCAGTCGATCCATATAAAGAATAAGTGGATCTACAGTTAAGACTAAGGAAAGCAGGAATCAGTGAGCTTTGCGTTATGGACAACAAGGAAAAGATAAGATTTAAGTGCAACTACCATTATTCAGAATCAGTCATCATAAAGCAATTTATTCCTCCTTAGAAGACGATGTTTCAAACTGACTAAAGACAAAGACATAGTGATACTTTATAGACAGATGAATAAGAATTAACAATACTTTAAAATGCAATTTAACAAAAAATTTTTCTTGCGTAGGGTCATAAACATTTGAGTGGAAATCACTATTTCAGTCATCAGGTCATTTTCCTTACATTTGCATTGTAGAATCCCTGTAAAACAGTGTAAATCATGTGCCACTACTGGGTTTAATCATGCTAACAAAATAGTGACATATTCATTTATGCTGCACATAGAACAAATAAAAAGATGTAAAAGTTACTATTGTGGGGAAAATGACCCCTACAACAAAGCATTTACATACACTAAGTTGAGTACTCAGATACATAGCTAAAACACATGGGGTCTGCTGAACGTTTTGTGACAATTTAATACCAGTCTAATTAATTCACTTAAGTTTCTCCTGACATATAGAAGCTCATTTTAACTAAGAATTGGTTTCTACTAGTGCATGAATCTTGTGCTGCCTTACACCCATCCATTTGCTGATTTGCACCTACAGACATTAGAAGAAACACTAGCAAGGAAAACACCAATTTTTTAAACCTGACTGTACAACCAATTTTTAAAAGTTACTTGTGTAATATTAATTCATGTTTAACAGTAAATAAGCTCAGAAAGAATAAAAATTATAGTCCTTGACCCTTGATAATTTTACTGAAACAAGAACAAAAAATGATGAGAAAAAAAATCAGCACACAGATTCTAAAAAGTTAGTCTTTTAACCGCACAATGATTACTTATACTTTCAGATTTTCTAGGTATATGACATTCACCTGTCCTTCACGCTGAAAGAAGAGAGATGCATACAAAAGGATCTACGCACTTGCTTTGGTGGTTGGTTTTATTTCTTGTGTCTTTCCTGTATTCCCTCCTTTCCATCTTTGAGCTAGACATGCTCGAATGCTCAATCCCCATTTGTGGTGGCAGAATTAAATGTCACTCCATGTCTGCCTACTGAGAATCCCTGCCACTGCCAATTACTGTTCCAGATGTACATTTTGCTGATGCTTGGCTGCCCCAAATCCTACATTCCCACATCCTCTTCGTTTGATAGGAGCAAGGCAGGAAGAGGTGACAAGAAGAGCAGAACCAGACACCAGAACAGGCATGAAGTCAGAGCCATGTATCATACGGCAGTAAACGTCACAACAGAATATTTAGAAAGTAAAGCATAATAAACTGGACCAAGAAGCTGTTCTGATCAGCACTCAGTGATCAGCTGCTCTGATCAGCACTCAGTGTGTACCAGCAGAGATAAGCTAATCTCCATGTCTACATTCTAAAACCTGCTCTGCGGTTTATGACTAAGTGACCTACACAGATTTTGCTTTCTGTATGCAATTACACCTTTAAGTATGACATTTTAAGTCTGTATGAGTGGAAGGAGAAAAATAAAGAAAGTCATCACCGAGTTTCCTTCTCCCTTGATGTCTAAACTTCAGTAGGAAATTAAGCAGGCATTTTGTTGTTACTATGCCCTACTAATACTCTATTTTAAGAAGAAAAAAATGTAAAACAGTTGAAGGAGAGATAATTGTGAAAGGCAGTAACTGACAACTACTCTTCAGAAAGATTTTAACTCCGCATGTCAAGATAACATTTTCATAATGATCTAAACTGTGTTTATACAATTGAATGCAGCAGTTCAAATTAACATGGTGATGGCCTGATCCGCATAGTGTTTGAAAGATTTGTGCAGATAACACAAAACTGATGCACAGAGTCTGAAATATCAGGCTATTTATTACAGATATGAATTTAAAGCAAGTAAAGTTCCTCCTGCATGGTGAAGGATACCCTCAATTTCCACATTAGTGAGATGAGACAACAGGAAGAACCTCGCAGAATCCATGTCTTTCGAAAGAAACTCATTTCTTCCCAGTTCCGTAAAGGCATTAATGGACTCTATGAACTTTCTTTACAAACAGGGGTTTCCATTTAGATGTTGCTGGATGGAATTTCTCCATCTAGCCTACATTAATGCTATTTTACTACAGAATCAGAAGAGAAGTCTGGAATCTCAGGGCCTAACTAGGTCTGCAGGAATCCTACAACCTGTGCATGTTATCAAACAGAAGCTTTGGTGCTGAAAAGCTCAGGAATAGGGAAGAGAGACAGTATAGATTATTGGACACCTGCTCCCTTCTCCAAACAGAGCAGTAGGATGTTTTCTTATAAATAGACTAGTACTACTTTCAATAACTGCTTTTAATCAACTACTACTACTATTTGTTAAGTCAGTACTTAAATGCTTGGACATATGAAAATTTGTTCACAAAGTGAATATAAACTAGATCTACTCAGAAATACTCTGGAAAAGCTGGGGAAAAAAAAAAATCTTACCACCACCTTAACAGCATGAACCACAGGTATTTATCTGCCTGTATCTACACTGGCCTTTTTTACATTTAGATTTCCCATCATTGACATCACTACCATAACAACAATAACGGTTACATTGGTAATATTGACTGAACTGTATTTCAGCCACAAAACTGCCTGATGCTGCTCAAACATTCCTATGCCTCTAAATATCATACATTAACAACTACAGCGCTCTCACTTTTGCCAGAAACACTGCAGTGGTAACACTACAGAAAAAGAAATGAGCAAAAAGTATAGACATGTTACAAACAAAGGTGACAGCAAACTTCTGAACACCATGCAAGTCAGAGCATTAAAAAGCCCCACCTGAACTTTCAGATACATCTAAGTTGAAGAACTGTGGTTTCATGTAGTAAATTTTAAAGATTACTAATGGTCTTTGCAATAATCTACATGAAATTGGGGCTTATAGTCACTTTGTGATGCATTTGTCTAATAACAGCTAGTTGCTGCAACATTAGGGTAGAGGGCCAGAGAAGGAGACAGAAAAGATAACCAAGGCAAAAATTTCTCACTTCTTTGGAGGACAGCATCTAGGTTTTTCTTCCTTCATCCCACAAAGAAAACTATGAAAAATAGGAATCACATTCCAGAGCATTCCTATATACAAACCAGGATTTCCCACACACACACATTTAACCCTATCAGAAGAAAGATAATAAAAAGAATTTTTGTTTTATTACCTGAAGACAAATTCAAAAGTACCAGTCCTGCTCAGTGCATACATTATTCATTTTGCTGAATTTAGTGAAGGGACTAACTGTGCACCAGTCTAGTTTTAGGTGACCTCATCTCCTATAGCATTTTTTTCTAAAAAATCTCCAGGTTGATAAAATAAGTGAGAGGCTTGGGGCCTAATGAGTAATGAATTATTAAGTAAAAGAGAAAGAGGCATTTATCGATTTCAGTATTCAAAAGCTGCTGTGCTTATTTTGCGTATATGTTAATATTCTGCAATAAAAAAAATGTAGTACATGGCTAAGTATGATCGGTGCTGATGAATTTGGGGATAACTTGTCAATCGCATGACAGTGTACTATGTTCACAGGAAAAAAGCATAAGCATGAACTTTATTTTGTGCTCTTCATATTGATAGTGGTTGGAAGCACTCTAACAATGGACCTGAAAAGTGCTTAGCTGCTAAGATGACAAGCGATAGAACATGCAGACAGAAGACAATGCATCACTTCAGACATCAGCACAAGCTCATGAAACACAACTTGCTCCTCAAGACTGAGTGACCACTCTGACTCTCCTGCCCATCAAAGTCCATCAAACAAAGGCAGAATATTCCTTTGTGCAGAACTAGAAAAATCTGAGATTGATTAAAAGGATAAAATCTTCCCAAGTATAACTTTCAAGGGAAAGCTCTGTAGAGATGAAAAACTTCCTCAACCTTCTACTGCTGTTTAACGTTCATTCAATGAATCTAAACTCATCAGATTCTTTTCAATTTCTCCAAGCTAAATGGTCACAAGATTCTGATGTATTTTAGGAAGACCATCTCAGAGGAGCTCACCAGAAGAAGCCTCTCTACTACAGATGAGATGATCTACACTGTCTTCTCACTTGACTACATGGCAGTCTCGGAAAACCAGTAACCGAAAGAGAAATGCTGAAGATGAGTCAGGAACTCATAACATTGACTCACCACAGTTGTGAATGAGCTATACAATTAAGAATAGCCTAAAAGGGATCTTAGGTCATGTTTTCCTATGATATATATGGATGGCTTGAGGATGCTTGTATGCAAATGCAATGCCATGAAGTACCTACGCGGAGGATCTTCCTGGTTAATCAGTCTTACAGGTGACTTCCGAGCTTGTTCATTTTTCATGTACATACTGAATGAGGAAGATTCCCCTTCTGCTTCAATCATTTTTTGCTCAACTACGGCTTTCTTGCTCTTTTTTTAATTAAAAATAGTATCTCTGACCCATTTTTTAGAAAGACTTAAGCAGGACATGCATCCCACCATCTGCTCTCACAGTTGCTTGCATAAGCAGTACATGCAAACAGCACCCTTCCTTCCTCCCTTCCCCTTTCCTCCTCCATACACTGTATCATTGTGTTGGTTAAAGCTGCTCCATTGTTCTTGCCAAAATTGGTGCCCTGCTGCCTCCCTGAGCTTGGGAAAGGAACCAAAACATGGCAAACAAGTAATCTGGTAATTAACACAACTGACTAGCAGGGGGAAAAACATTTCACACAATAAATTCTGAGGTCATATTTACTTTGGAGGGGAAAAAAAACAACACACTGCTAGTACCTGTGCAGTTGGAGAGAAAAGGAGAAAAACTAAAGTTGAGTAAAATTTTGAGCATTACAGTTAAATTTAAAATGTGGATACATTTGTTTAATGTATTCATCCAGATCTTGTGATAACGCATCACTAGGATATTGTAATTATGTCAGGAGCATTGAAGCCATGTGTGTTATGGGAGGCAAACTGCTTTCCAAGAAAGCATAAGAGAAACCTTGTACTTAATTACCTGGCTATTTAAGCCAGGCTAATTACCTGGCTTAACTTTAATAGCTTGCATATAAAACTTAAGTCTAGTTAAAAGTTTACATCCCCTTTCAAAAGAAGCAAGAATTATAAGTTCTACTAAAGTTACTGAACTCACCAGCATGAGTTTTGATGACAGATTTGTCTTGCTTAATGCCAGCTTCTTCATTTTTTCGATCAATCCGTTTTCCCATGACATCTTGTCCTATAGCTGCAGAATCTGCTACTTCACACTGCTCATCTGCAATGAGAAAAGGTAGCTTTGAACACACACTGTAAAGAAAGCAGGACTGCAGAAAAACAAAGTGGGAGGCAAATAATCCTCCATTTGAATGTGATAGTTTTCCCTGTTGAGGGAAAAGAACCCCCAAGCCATAGGACTATACAGACCATATCAGTGATTTCAGGGTGAAATGCTGAGCAAGCTTCTGTCCCACAAAGTATCTCATACTGAACATTTCTGATCACCGCATTGAACAACAATATAGGATACACTGAGAAAAACTGAGACCACTGCTTAGAGTTTGTTGACACATTCCATTTTATCTGCAAAGCTAACTTAACCTCAATCTACCTCCTCCCTCATTCAGCCCCATCGCTTATTTTCAGCCCTGAACAGGCTTTTCATTTGTAGCAGTACAAGCACTCCTGGGGGGTCAGGTGAACCGTCTCACAGTATTGACCCAAGTGAAAATAACGTGGGGCAGGGGAAATAACAAAATCTGTATCAGTTCCCTGTTCTCCAGCTTGTTCCAGCACAACTCCAGTTCTGCAGAAACTGAGGAAACAACAAAGATGTGAAAGCAAATAGCTGGGAGAAGACAAAGGACTTAATAGGTCCGACAAGTCACTGCCACTGGCAGCAAGATGCATACAGCGTGGTCCCAGTTCAAAACACTGAGCACACTCAGGAAGCACCTGACTTCTCTACTCTGTTTTCAGGGTACTAATAGCAAATTCAGTGGGTTTACACAAGGAAATAATGTGTCCCTACAGGGACACCAGCATGACAGGTTTTCTGTAGTTCTTTATATACGCTGTTCTCTGTAAGATATATACTGCAGAAAGCAATCCATTTCCCAAAATATTTTTCTATGAATTATTCCCTAGTTTCTCATTTAACTGGTAGTATTCAGAAGACTCCGTAATTTTATGAAACATTAACTTTGTAAAGATAGGAAGTGGTAACACTTATTAAAAAGCCTCTACGCAGACAGCAAGGACTGCTCCTAGCATGTACTCCTTGATGCCAGAAATAAGGATTTCAATGGCTAGACATGGAATAATTTTTAAAAAATTGCTATATCTCCACAAAAAAAAAAGTTTATTAAAACCTATCATTTGTAAAAAACAAAAAATTTTAAGCAAAACTGTTAAATTTATTAGACACTGTTCAATTATATAAATGGAGCATGAATAAGACATCAAGACAATGGTCATCTCTTCATGCATATTTTTGAAGCACTGGTATCTAACGCTGTATTCTGTGCTATGATAAACAAGGTTGACATTCATGTGTATATACCTGACAACAAATTTTTCCCTGCATTGTTGGCATTTCATGCCTAAACAGTATTTTAAAAGGATCCCTAATAATAACGGTGCTGGTTATTAGTGCAGAGGGGGAAAAAAAAAAACACCACACACAACAACCACCCCCAGTAAAATGTTGGCTGGATGAGGGACAGAAGGAACATCTGGACTTGCCTACAGTAAGAAAAGAAACAGCTTGCGAGTTTTAACATACAGACAAGGTTAATTATATATTGGTATATGCCAGCTGATCAAGTTGAACTGAGTAGAACCAGTTTACAAGAGTAACAGCTAATGGACATTAAAATATATTTTAAGTCTATGCTACCTTAAAAAAACATATTAAAAGTGTTGTAGCTAATCTTTAAAGCTATAATGTTTCTATATGCTGACAAGCTCCCAAACTAAAAGGAGATTTAAAAAAATCTTAATCTCTTCAAGTACTCACAATACTTACCAAACTTGGAGAAAAGAAGAATGCAGAAGAAAGACAGAGAACCCCACAGAGACAGAAGAAAAACTAACAAGACATTAAGGCAGTTAGCTTATGGTCTGCTGCCTGCTTCTTTATCACTCATCTGATGCAGCTTTAAGGTACTAACTCGCCCTCTTAAGTATTTCACACCCTGGAACCCTTCCTGTGCCCTTGGAAAGATTATTTTACAACCCAGTTACTTTTCATACATGGGAACTCTGTCAAGATATCTTAAAGAATTTTTTTTAACATGTTGACAGAATCTCAGCATCACTAGGAAGGGTTTCTACGGCCAAATCATACCTTTCTGCATTTAGCTGTCAGCAAATCCTGAGAGCGCAAAACACAGACCTAGTCAGCATGCTGAGGTTCTGTTGCCTTGCATAGCAAGAACACCATGCACAATTTTTACATTTTTATTTTTGCTGATTCAAGCCCCCAGTGCACTGACTTAAAGCTGTGCAAGACAGGTCTCAAGCATGGTAAGCTCTGCATACCTGCATGGTTTTGGCCTGCCAACCATGACATGCTTTCCAACATATCTGACACAGCAGACCACACTAAATCCTCTGTGAAACAATACAATTCAGATGGTTCGCTCTCTTGCTGCCAGCAGGCTGCTTCCTCTTCACTGAAGGCTCAAAGGTGTCTTCTGAATAGTCCAAACCAGGGCTACTGTAACTCTGGCTCAGTTCCGTCTGCCACTTTTCGTCATTACCAGAGCTATCTGCTGAGGTAGTCACCATGGTGCAGCATTGCAAATAAAAACAAAAGCATGCAACAGGTTTAATTATACAGGAAGAACGACTGAATTACTTATAGCAATGGGGGATATATGGAGGAATATTATAGCTCAGCTCACACCCAATTTAGCTATCACAATGGGCGGATGAAATAACTATTTGATCAGTGCACTGGATCAAGGCAACACCCTTCAAAGCACTACTGCTGACTGAAGTAGTGCATCATTAAGATTCCCTGGCCAAGCACACAGTAACAATTATCACTAAACATTAGCAGTGAATTCTGAGCATCTTTTCAATTTTGTAGTGAAATACAGTTAACACCTGGATAAAATCATTCATGAAAACAAACAAAACAAAATTTTAAATGGTATTTTTTTGCCTTCAGATTATTAAGCCTCTCACCACTCAGAAATGCATTTCTGTTGTGATCCAAGATCACAACAAATCTGTTGTTCTTAGATTTTGTCTAGAAAATTAAAAAGAAAACATAACAAGCATGAGCCAGCTGATGCTCTCAAATGAGGAGTCATGCTCCCAATGTGAAAAAGAGAAATAAAGTTCTCCAGATTTCAGCTCCAGGAAAAAAAACAGACCTCAGATAGTTTACCTGTCACATAATAGATTTATTTTAAAGCTTACTTATTCTACCCTTTTTTATTAGGATGATGCAATACCCCTTCTTCCTTTGAATTTAAGGACCTAAATAACTTTGTCCTCAATAGTTTTGCTCAAATTTCTTCCCTACTCTCATAAAGTAAGGAGAGTAAATATATGGGCAACATCCCTCTGGAAAGATGCTTGCAGCTGTCACAGCCCTGGCTCCTTCATCAGAAGGATGGGAACCTCAACATGATAACTGGAGGTAGACAAAGGCAAAGAATTGTTCTGATCTAAACTTTAAATATTAATAATCATTAAGTAATTCTTTTGTTCATTACAGAACCACCGATTCAGGTTGGAGATTGGTTTTTAAGATCAGGTCTGGAGAAAAACAATAGGAAATGCAAATAGAGAGTCAAATTTAGTTCTCCAGCCCACAGCTGACCTAAGAAGTTGCAGCTGCACATGCAGCACATGGATGGTTAGAGTAAGAAAACGATTTCAGCAAGTAACATGACTGGCTGAACTACAGATGCTTCATAATCACAGATACAACTGATATTAACTAATTCTCCCAGTGAAAATTGGTGTTTATTAGAATAGCAACAGATAAATAACTTAAAAGCTGTAAGTATACTTATAAATAGCAAATAAAACATGTTTACAGACAACTTTAGTTGTATCTGCTATCATACAGCTTTTATTCCTCACAAGGCTGAGCCAATATCTAGCTTAACAGATTGGCAGAAAGTGAGCTTAGTGTTTCAGTAAGGGTTCCGAAAAAGAGAAGCCACTGAACTGTTTGAATTGCTTTTCTAAGAATCATTTTGTCTCATAGATCCAGTAATGGAGGTTGCTGGGATGGGATGTCACTGAAAATGGGAAGCACGTTAGAAGAAAACCTGAGGGAATGAAGCTTTGTCCTCTCATTAGGCAAAACTGGATTGCAACACACCACACTCACGAAAAACCTACACTCCCACGAAGTAACAGACAAGTAAGAAACTCTTCTCCATGCACTTTCTAGTTAAAGCCCAAAGAAAACAGAGGCGGGGTATTACTTTGTGCTTTGTTTGGGGTTTTTTTTTGATTTCACAATCCTGCATTTCCAGGCTGAAAGCATGTTTTTCAAAACTATTTCACAAAGACTTTTAACTGACCAATTCCCTTTTAGAAAATCCCAAGATGAACCAGATGCTTAGCCGATCTTTTAATACCCTGCCAGCACCGTCATCAGGCCTTCAGATTCCTTCCTGAAACCTCAGAAGCTCGATCGCAAGGGCGAGGCCCCCAGCACAACCCCTTGCCAGCTGTGACTCGGAGTCCAGCTCGCAGGACCGGTAACTTGTCACACAAAGGGGCCCCGGATCCGTGTCGGGCCTGCTCCGGCTCCCTGCTCCCCCCGAAGCCCCACC